CGTTGGAGCACTGACTGGCCCGCATGGAAGCTCTCTTCTGCTGTGGCCATCCAATTTTTCTTCATGTACCTTCCTGGACCCACTGCTGCTTTGGGGTTCCGAAAACTCAGGCCCTTCTTGGTGGGTGAAGCTGTGGGGGAAATGAAACAGGGGCTCACCTGGGGCCAGGCAGGGACTTGGCCACTCACTTCATGGGAGGTAGGTGTGGAAGCCCAAGAAGTTCTTGCCCAGGCCTCCTAGCCAGGGCTGACCTATGTTTATTCTGTGTATGTTTTTTGTTTGGATTGGGAGGAAGAAGGTCAGGGTGGGTGCAGGGCTCCTTGACGACCTCCTTATCAGGCGGGAGGCCCAGCTTTACTTTTTGTTTTTTGTTTTTTTCTTTGTGTTTGTTTTTCGCAGAGTTCCTCACTCCTATCACCCTGGTAGAAGAGTGCAGTGGCATCATCATAGTCACAGTAACCTCAAAACTCCTGGGCTTCAAGTGATCCTCCTGCTTCATGCCCCTGAGTAGCTTTTTGGGGGACCCCTTTTAAAGGTGCATACCACCACACCTGGCTATTTTTCCTGTTTTTAGTAGAGACAGACTCTCACGTCTTGCTCAGCGCTGGTCTTGAACTCCTGAGCTTTCCAAGCCATCTCCACCTTGGCCTCCCAGATGCTAGGATGACAGATGTGACCACCATGCCCGCCAGACACGCTGGATTCAAAGGAGAGACATAATCTCTACCACAGAGAGGGGAGGAGAGGAGAAATCCAATGAACCCCCCCAGAAAAACAGCATATGCCCTCTGGTTCATTCACACACCGTGCATGAAAGCATGGCTACGGTGGCACGCTGGGCGGGGACACTGGGATGGCCTTTTCCAGCAGCTCTGAGCCTGGGGGCAGCAAGGCATTGGCACGAGGCTCACGCCAGTGGGGAAGTTAGTAATAAAGGGGGGGGGGATGCCACAATCACATTTCTACTCATGCCACCCTGTTTGCAAAGTAGTTTCACATTTGCTACCTGGTTGAGAGGCAGCTGTGAAGCTATTGGGAATCCAGACACCTGTCACCCATGTGACACTTGAGCAAGTCACCTTTCTGACCAGTTCCCTCTGCAAAAGGTGACATCACCCCTACCATACAATTGTTTGAGGGAATTAGTTAAGATAATGTATATGCCCCAGTAGTGCCTACTGTATATTGTGCTCAAAAAAATGATGTTAATCTAAGTTTCCTTCCTGGTTTCATGCATGCTGAAGGCCAGAGAGGGGAGGTGATTCTCCAGGGACACAAGAGCTGTGTGCTGCCGACTTTACTCCTCCGGGCTCACCGGAGCTCACTTCCCCCTGCCCACTCCTGCCGGGTGTCAAACAGCGGTACTCACATCACTCCTGCCTTGGGGCCAGACGCTCCCGTTGGAACAGTTGGTAGCTGATCACTCGGCTTCTCGGATTTTCTGGAACAAAGGTCATGCAGCAGAATGGGGATGGCCACGAGCCTACAAGAGAAGAGAGAAGAGCCATGTCCCTTGGGAGACTCCCCTCCGCTCAGGGCCTCGGAGCCCCACACACCCCAGTGCACTCAAAAAAACGGGGCAGCCTTTCCTCACAGTCCCCTCCTGGTCCTCCACCCTCCACTGTCACCACTCCGTGCTTCAGACAGCACTTGCCCCAGTCCCTTACGTGGGGGCGAGGTGGTAGGCACACAGGCCAGGGAGCAAGGAGTCCGGCGGCGACCGCTCAAGGGGCCTGCCATGCCTGGGCGGCAGCTCAGAGCTCAAAGCCGGGGTGCCAGGAGGAAGAGGACCTGGGAACAAGGGCCCGGTTCCTTGCAGAGCACCCAAATGCCTTTTCTTCTGCCCTTTAATAGGGGTGGCTAGAGAAACATGCCCCCCCCAGTTCCTCGAAAATCCTGAGGCCTCTGTGGTTTGGAAAGCGAAGTTTTGCCCAGTTGTTGCCCCAGCTGAGTCAGGCTATTTGGGCCCGTACAAGAGGAGCTGGGTGGGGCCATTGCCCTGCTAGGCCAAGTCAAAGCTTGATGCTCAGTCGGAAGGCCCCGGATCCTGGCAGAGCTGCTATTCCTGCGGATGCGGAAAACGTCACTCACCCCTCTGAGCTCCCCCGTTCTTCAGTTGACAGTAGATAGAGTCAGGGCTTGACGGCTGGCACTGAGGTGCAAGGGCTGGAAGACAATGGTCACGTGCTAGAGCTTTGCAATCCTAGTGCTCAGTTCAGCTGTAAGGGACTTCATCAGACAGGGTGGGCCCATGGCCCCCATGCTCACTCCAGCCCCGATTCCAGGATCCCAGGCTGGAGCCTGTCGCTCAGAGAGCCCCTCGCTGACACTGCCATTGCCACTCCTCCCTGCAGTCCTTCCATCCCACCCCCAGCCTCCCGCTCCGGGCTTTACCAGACAGCAGGAAGCACACCAGTGGATGGGACTTCAGTGCACATGTCCACCTTGCCTTGAGTGGCCAGCTTGGGCGTGCCTCATCTCCTACTTGGCCTGAAGGCCCTTGAGATCTACGTCTCTTTCGTACCATCCTGTCCCAGGCAGACCACCTGTCTCACGGCCAGTGTTCGCAGAATGCATTTATGAATGATCAACTTAGACAACTTCCTCTGACAGAGACTCCTCTGGTTTAGCGTGTCAGGGAGGCCGGGGCAGCAGGCAGTCCCCTGGAATGGGGACAAGAACTGCAGTTGGTGAAGGGGCAGTGCCGGGCTCGTCACCCCTGTTTGCAGAGTGAACAATGCTGAGAGCCGACATCAGGGCTTCTGCTGCTTTGCACTTCCTCTCTGCCTCCGCGTCCATCAGCCAGCAATAGCAGTCTGGGGAGAATGAAAGGGAAACGTCGGGGGGAAGCCCTTTTGGGGGTCAATCATTGTGTGATGCGATATGGTTATGACCGCGCCTCCTTGGTGATTCCGAGGGGTGCCGGCTTTTGGGGGCGCTGCTCTTGACTCAGTGGGTGGCTGCGTGCGCAGGGGGAGGGGAAGTGGCGAGAAAGCCGCAGGTACAGGGCATGCAGGCAGGCGCTCGCTCCCCGAGTGTTCGCAACCGGAGTGGAAGGCAGAAAGGTCACTGGTGGGAGAGAAGAGATGGAGTGATTCATCCAAGATTAATAATAACACCCTGCAGGCTTTCCACCCAGTCTGTGTGCTTCTATTCAGGAATAGCCAGGGCAGACTCCATCCCATTTACAAGGGAAAGCTGATCTGCCAAGGGGGAGTGACCAGACACCTACTACAGGTGGTGCCCTCACCCCCCAAATGGGGAACCTGCACCCTTCCTGCTGAAGGGGGCGGAAATCCGACAGCCCAGAGGATGGAGTTAAAAGTAAGAGTGGGAGAGAGGGTCTACGGAAGGCAGAGTGAAAGAGGGAGTAGACGGGAAGAAGAGGAAACCGCAGCAGAGGCCTGAGGCAGGAGGATCGCTGGAGTCCAAGAAGTTCAAGTCCAGCAAAAAAAAACTATGAACAAATTCCTATGCACACTGCACATATCTTATTTTGAAGTAAAAAAAACAAATGGGCAAAAACACCCGCATGTGGCCTGCGGGCCATAGTTTGAGGACGCCTACAATACAGTCTCCTTGCCTGCCCTCCCTCCCTGTATTACCCACCCATCCTACTAGTGTTATTCCCTCTACCTCCTGAACACGGTATTTGCATTCAAGTCTTTGTTTCGTGGTGGTCTGCTTCTGTCAAAAACCCAAAGTTAAAAGGTCTTATTATCCTCATTTTACAGATGAGGAAAACTGAGGCTTAGAGAGGTTAAGTGATGCATTTCAAAGTACGACATAATAAGATATATTTGGGCCCCAGTTTTTGACACAGAGCTCGTAAAACTCATAATTTCCTGAGCAAAGAGGAGGATAGGAGTGTCTTACGTAGACTTCCTAGATTCCTTCCTAGATTCCTGAGCCTTTATTCTAAAGAGGTGACTCTTGGTGGGCTCCTGGAGAGCTTTAGGACAGGGAATGGTCACCAGAAAGACCAAGCCATGTTAAAAGCTGGGAACTTTCAGCCTTACCCCCCATCTTCCAAGGACAGGAGAAGGGCTAGAGACTGACTTAATAAGCCATCGTGCCTATGTGCAAAATTCTCCATCAAGATCTCTAAACTGTGGGGTTCAGAGAGCTTCCAGATTGGTAAATACATCCATGTGCTGGGGGAATGGTGCCCCCCAGCTCCACAGGGACAGAAGCTCCTGAGCTCAGAGTCCTTCCAGACTTTTTTTCTGGCTGTTCACTTGGATCCTTTATAATAAACTAGTAAATGTCAATAAGCATTTCACTGAGTTCTGTGAGCCATTATAACAAACCTGGAGGGATCACAGGAATCCTAGGTTTGTAGCCAAGTTGGACAAAACTGTGGGTATCCTGGGCACCCAATACTTGCAACTGGTGTCAGAAGTGGGAGCAGCCTTGGGGACTGACCCCTTAACCTATGAAGTCTGTGCCAACTCCAGGTACTTATTGTCTGAATTGAGTTAAATTGTGGGATACCCAGTTAGTGTCCACAGAGCATTGCATGGTGTGGGAAACCCACACATTCAGTATCAGAAGTTGTTAAGTGTAAAAGAAGAGTTTATCTTTTACAAGGTCACAAAGCTTATAAAGCAGGATTGGTATTGAACCCCATGGTGCTCTTAATTTGTGACTGTCCATTATGGTCTGTCTAATTCTTTGAAGCCAGACACCATTATTTATAATGTTATAGCCTCCTAATGCCTGTTATAGCTCCTTGTGCAAAAATGTTCTTTGTTGAAGTATTTTAAAAATTTAATTGAACCCAACTGTGAATGTGTGGTTTTTGAAGTTAATAATAGGACTCCCAAGAGCAGGCCAAGACCAACCCCACATGCCCTGGACTCAGGCTGCCTTCACCCCTCCCAGCTTTGGATGGGCAACCCAGGATGCCTTCTGGGGCACACACACTATTGCTCTCAGCCCAACCATGCCCCACAAGAGAGACAAGAACAGGCAAGACACGACCACCTTCAAAGGAGGAATCTCAGTTTACTTTGGACTGTCATTTAAGAACAGTGATTGTATCTACACTCTTAACAAACAAAATCACACAGTATCTCACGTGTAGAAAATAAAAAGCTGAGGTCTGTCTCCCCCCTATGTCCCCACCCATGATCCCCTCACCTAAATGTGGGGAAAGCCCAGCTGTACAGACAGAGCTGGTTTTTGTCCGCAAAGCAGCAGAAGCAAGCTGTGTCGCAGAGCAGAACATCTCCTCAAAGTCATTTCTTGACAAAGGTGAAACTGCCAAGCTGTGTAGTTTCACCCTGCGCCTCCATGTTCATTTCTTTGCAAAAACCAATGAGTTCCTGAAAATTTGATTAATTATAACCGATGAGAAGTGCACAAGGAGGGCTGGGATCCAGCAGTGAAGGCAGCCAAGGGGCCCCTCTACTTCTGTCGGGGTTTTATTCACTCTTTGATGCGGGAAGTGGGACCGGCCTGGAGCATCCCTGACATGCTGGAGAGCTGCAGCTGTTGGCAGGTCCCCCAGACAGAGACAGTCAGATGGCCATTAGGCCCCAAGAGCAGAGGGCCCTTGGAAGCCAGCTGCAGGCGGTGGTGCCAGCAACGTGTGCCTGTGCCCCCAGGGGCTCGGGTCCCATGTGCCTGGGCTCTGAGGGCCTGGAAGTCAGAGAAGAGCCAGGTCCAGGTTGGGAGGAGAGGGGCAAAAGGCCACCACCACCCTCCTTCCGGGACCTTCTCCCCCAGCTCAGGGAAGGCGAGGGGCTCTGTGTGTTCAGACCCGTCGCTCAGCCCTCAGGGACCTGACTTGCTACTCCCTTGGGTCTTTCATAGAATAGACACAAGCCTGGAGAGTGTTGCTCAGACACAGGAAAATCAGCTCTCCCCCATCACTGCTGGCTGCCCCAGGCCCCAAGCAGCCTGGCAAGGAGCCAGGCCCAAGCTCAGGGCCAGAGGCTGGCTGGCGATTAGGAGGTGGTGCTGTTGCCAGGGCGTCTCTGGGCAGGGACCTTGGCGCCCACTGCCTTGGCCCGCATGGAAGCTCTCTTCTGCTTGGCATCCAATTTCTTCATGTACTTCTGGACCCACTGCTGCTTGGGGTCTCCGCAGAAACTCAGGCCCTTCTTGGTGGTGAAGCTGTGGGGGAAATGACAGGGGCTCACCTGGGGCCAGGCAGGGACCTTGGGCCACTCCACTTCATGGTGAGGTAGGTGTGGAAGCCCAAGAAGTTGCTTGCCCAGGCCTCCTAGCCAGTGCTGACCTATGTCTTCTATCTCTGTGTCCATGTCCCTTTGTTTTAGGATTGGGAGGAAGAAGGGGTGCAGGGTGGGGGTGCAGGGCTCCTTTGACGACCTCCTTATCAGGCAGGGGAGGCCCAGCTTTACTTTTAGATACACTAGATCCATTTCCTTGTTTTTTTCTTTTGTTTGTTTGTTTTTAGACAGAGTCCTCACTCTATCACCCTGGGTAGATAGAGTACAGTGGCATCATCATAGCTCACAGTAACCTCAAACTCCTGGGCTCAAGTGATCCTCCTGCTTCAGCCCCCTGAGTAGCTGGGACTACAGGTGCATACCACCACACCTGGCTATTTTTCTGTTTTTAGTAGAGACAGACTCTCACTCTTGCTCAGGCTGGTCTTGAACTCCTGAGCTCAAGCCATCCTCCCACCTTGGCCTCCCAGAGTGCTAGGATGACAGATGTGAGCCACCATGCCCGGCCTAGACACGCTGGATTCAAAGGGAGAGACATAATCTCTAACCACAGAGAGGGGAGGAGAGGAGAAATCACAATGAACCCCCCCAGAAAAACAGCATATGCCTCTGGTTCATTCACACACCGTGCATGAAAGCATGGCTGACGGTGGCAGCGCTGGGCGGGGACACTGGGATGGCCTTTTCCAAGCCAGCTCTGAGCTGGGGGGCAGCAGGCTATGGCACCGAGGCTCAGGCCAGTGGGGAAGTTAGTAATAATGCCAACATCACATTTCTACTCCATGCCACTGTTTGCAAAGTGAGTTCACATTTGCTACCTGGTGTGAGAGGCAGCTGTGAAGCTATTGGGAATCCAGACACCTGTCCACCCATGTGACCTTGAGCAAGTCACCTTTCTGAGCCTCAGTTGCCCTCTGCAAAATGGTGACATCACCCCTACCCCATACAATTGTTGAGGGAATTAGTTAAGATAATGTCATATGCCCCCAGTAGTGCCTACTGTATATTTGGTGCTCAAAAAAATGATTGTTGAATCTAAGTTTCCTCCTGGTTTCATGCATGCTGAGGCCCAGAGAGGGGAGGTGACTTCTCCAGGGACACACAGAGCTGGGTGCTGCCGACTTTACTCCTCCGGGCTCCCGGAGCTCACCTTCCCCTGCCCACTCCTGCCGGGTGTCAAACAGCGGTACTCACATCACTCCTGCCTTGGGGCAGACGCTCCCGTTGGACAGTTGGTAGCTGATCACTCGGCTCTCGGGAATTTTCTTGGAAACAAAGGTCATGCAGCAGGAAATGGGGATGGCCACGGAGCCTACAAGAGGAAGGAGAGAAGAGCCATGTCCCTTGGGAGACTCCCCTCCGCTCAGGGCCTCGGAGCCCCACACACCCAGTGCACTCACGGGGCAGCCCTTTCCTCACAGTCCCCTCCTGTCCTCCACCCTCCACTGTCACCACCTCCGTGCCTTCAGAACAGCACCTTGCCCCAGTCTTACCTGTGGGGGCGAGGTGGTAGGCACACAGGGCCAGGAGCAGGAGTCCGGCGGCGACGCTCACGGGGCCTGCCATGTCCTGGGCGGCAGCTCAGAGCTCAAAGCCGGGGTGCAGGAGGAGAGGACCTGGGAACAAGGGGCCCGGTTCCTTGCAGAGCACCCCAAATGCCTTTTCTCTGCCCTTTATAGGGGTGGCTAGGAGGAAACATGCCCCCCCCCAGGCTTCCTCGAAAATCCTGAGGCCTCTGTGGTTTGGAAAGCGGAAGTTTTTGCCCAGTTGTTGCCCAGCTGAGTCAGGGCTATTTGGGGCCCGTACAGAGGAGCTGGGGTGGGGGCCATTGCCCTGCCTAGGCCAAGTGCAAAGCTTTGGATGCTCAGTCGGAAGGCCCCCGGGATCCTGGCAGAGCTGCTATTCCCTGCGGGATGCGGGAAAAGTCACTCACCCCTCTGAGCCTCCGTTCTTCAGTTGCAGGTAGATAGAGTCAGGGCTGACGGCTGCACTGAGGTGCAGAGGCTGGAAGACAATGGTCACGTGCTAGAGCTTTGCAATTCCTAGTGCTCAGTTCAGCTGTAAGGGACTGAGGTGACTTCATCAGACAGGGTGGGCCATGGCCCCCATCTCACTCCAGCCCCGATTCCAGGATCCCAGGCTGGAGCCTTGCGCTCAGAGAGCCCCTCGCTGACACTGCCATGCCCACCCCTCCCTGCAGTTCTCCATCCCACTTCCCCAGCCTCCCCGCTCCGGGCTTCCAGGACAGCAGGAACACACCAGTGTGGGACCTCAGTGGCACATGTCACTTGCCTGATGGCCAGCTGGGTGCCTGCATCTCCTACTTGGCCTGAAGGCCTTGAGATCTACGTCTCTTTCCGTACCCATCCTGTCCCAGGCAGACCACCTGTCTCACGGCCAGTGTTCGCAGAATGAATTTATGATGGATCAACTCTAAGACAACTTCCTCTGGACCAGAGACTCCTCTGGTTTAGCGTGTACACGGGGTGGAGGCCGGGGGCAGCAGGCAGGTCCCCTGATGGGGACAAGACTGCAGTTGGTGATAGGGGCAGTGCCTGGGCTCGTCACCCCTGTTTGCAGAGTGAACAATGCTGAGAGCCCGACTCAGGGCTCTGCTGCCTTGACACCTTCCCTCTCTGCCTCCGCGTCCCGTCAGCCAGCAATAGCAGTCATGGGGAGGATGAAAAGGGAAACGTCGGGGGGAAGCCCTTTGTCATCATTGTGTGTGCGATATGGTTATGACCTGCGCTCCTTGGTGATTCCGAGGGGGTGCCGGCTGGCTGCTCTGACTCAGTGGGTGCTGGGAGCGTGGCGCAGGGGGAGGAGGAAGTGGGGAAGAAAGCCCGCCAGGCAGGGGCATGAGCAGGGCAGGGGCGCTCGCTCCCCGAGTGTCGCAACCGGAGTGGAAGGGCAGAAGGTCACTGGTGGGAGGAGAAGAGATGGAGTGATTCATCCCGGATTAATAATAACACCCTGCAGGGGCTTTTCCACCCAGTCTGTGTGCTCTATTCAGGGAATAGCCAGGGCAGGGACTCCCATCCCATTTACAAAGGGAAAGCTGAATCTTGCCAAGGGGGAGTGACCAGACACCACTACAGGTGGTGCCCTCACCCCCCAAATGGGAACCTGCACCCTTCCTGCTGGAAGGGGCGGAATCCGACAGCCAGAGGATGAGTTAAAGTAAGAGTGGGAAGAGGAGGGTCTAGGAAGGCAGAGTGAAAGGAGGGGATAGACGGGAAGAAAGAGGGAAAGCCGAGAGCAGAGGCTGAGGCAGGAGGATCGCTGGAGTCCAAGAGTTCAAGTCCAGCCTGGGCAACAAGGGGAGACCCCATCTCTTTAGAAAAAGAAGAAGAAAAAGAAGAGGAAGATGGAAAGAGGAGAAAGAGAGGGGGAGTCCATGGGGGAGGAAAGAGCATAATTGGGGAAGAAATGTGCAAGGGTGGGAGGCTCCCAGAGCCCTCAGCTCCAGTGCAGACCCTGCCCCTCTCTTGGCCTCAATTTCTCCATCTGAGAAATGGGGTCTTGGCCAGATCTGCATCTTCCCAAGTGTGGGACCACCCTAGGAGACATAAAAAGGGACATTTTTTTTTTTTTTGAGTCAGAGTCTCACTCTGTTGCCAGGGCTAGAGTGCCGTGGTGTCAGCCTAGCTCACAACAACCTCAAACTCCTGGGCTCAGGCCATCCTCCTGCCTCAGCCTCCCAGGTTGCTGGGACTACATGTGCCACCATGCCTGGCTAATTTTTTCTGTATATTTTTAGTTGGCCAATTAATTTATTTCTATTTTTAGTAGAGACGGGGTCTCATTCTTGCTCAGGCTGGTTTTGAACTCCTGACCTTGAGCAATCCGCCTGCCTCGGCCTCCTAGAGTGCTAGGATTACAGGCATGAGCCACCTCGCCCAGCCAAAAAGGGACATTTTTTATTTAAATATGTTTTGTTATGGCCACCCTCTCCAATAAGGGATTTTGTGTTTATGGTAATGATACATGGTTTCCCTAAGATAAAAAAAATATGTGTTCACAAAAAAAAAATAAAGTGAATCATAGAACAAATCGTATGCAGCTGTGACAGAAATTGTGACAGTTGCCCAAGAATATCTGAAGTCCGGGGAGCCTGGCAGAGGTGCCCTCTAAGGGCCTTTCTCCTACATTCCACACACCACGGGGAGACGGGGACAGGGCTGGGGCCAAAGCTAGAAGCAGAGCGGAGCCTGGCAGAGCAGGGAGTGCAGCAGGGCTGCTGTCTCGGTCACCCCCACTGCGGTGAGCAATGATGACGATGATGATGATGATGATGTAGGGCAGAACCCGACAGCTGGGCAGCGGACAGCCACCAAGGTGGTGAGGGGCCTGGAAGACACAGCCTGATGAGAAATGACTGGGAGAAGGGGCTGTGATCTTGGAGGAGAAATGACTTCAAACACTGAGGACACGTCCCAGGAAGGGAGCCTTGGATCCCACGGCCCTAATTAGGGTGAAAGGAGACCACAGGTGGAGACTTGTGATCTCAGGAGGGGGAGGATGGGGCCAGGGGCAGCAGACAGAACTGAGCCCTGGCTGCCCAGGAAATTGCTGAGTTCTTGAGCACTTCATCTCCACTACCGACCCCGGTTCTATACGATCCCCGTTCCGTGCGCAAGGAAACTGGGGCTTAGAGTGGGGGCGGGAAGGGTGGAGCTGGCATTTGAATGAGTTCTAGCTGAACTCAGTGGTGCCTCCCATTAGTGGAGCCCAGCCTTGACCTTGTGGGCAGCAAGGACACCCATGGGACACCCATGGTTCGCAGGCGCAGCGTTAATGAGGTTGGACCTGTGGTCTAGTGACGCGATGGGATCCCCTGGCAGGTGTGGTGGGAAGAGGCTGGGGCAGGGAAACTGGCTGGGAGGTCACTGTGGATGTCCAGGGGAGGGACGATGAGGGTGTGGACTGGGGCCGGGCTGGGAAAGAGCTCTCCACACCAGATCTACTTGAACAACCTACAAGAGAGGGAGATGCAGAATCTGAGGTGTCCTCTCCCGAGATGCCGGTCTCCACCCCAGCCCGCATCCCAGGTTGTGCGGAAAACATTTGTAGGAGTCCTCACACCCACTCCTTGGAAGTCACCTGTTTACACCCCTCCCCAAACCCAGAGCCCACCTGTTTATGCCCCTCCCCAAACCCTGAGAAGACTGGCCTTGGTTCTACAGGACCACCCTCTGGACATGACAGTCACCTGCCAGGGTTGAAATCTTGGCTCAGCACTTAGGTAGCCGCGTGGCCAAGGTTATTAACTCCTCTGTGCCTTACTGTCCTCGTTTGTAAAATGGGAAACAACAACAATCTCTGCCTCATAGCTTATTGTGAGGATTGAATAGGTTCCTTCAGGTCAAGGGCTTGGCAACCTGACTGGCAGAGGTCAAGTGTCCCCAAAAGGCAGTGATCATTCTTGTTATTGTTGTGACAGCTGTGTACAAGCTGATAAGCTGACTAAACCAACAACCCACAGACAGGCTCGTCCATGAGCCTGCAATAATATATTATTGCATTTAATCTAATCTTTACAAAAATGACCCTTAGTGTAGATATTATTATTGTAGTGTGGATATTATTGTAGAAAGAGGTGAAGTAACATGTTCAAAGACACACAGTTCCTGACTCCTACAGTTTGAAGCCCAAACCTGAACCACTGTACAGGGTGCTAGAAATATAGTGGTAATATGTGGGTGGTGAGAAAGAGGAAGGATAAGAAAGAAGAAAATGGACAAGCTAATCCTAAAACTTATATGGAAATGCAGGGAACCCCGCTAAAAAAAAAAAAAAAATTGAAGCAGCACAAAGTTGGAGGACTCATATTTTCTGATTTCAAAGCTTACTACAAATCTAAAGTATTCAAAACAGTTTGGTTCTGACATAGGCTAGATATATAGATCAATGAGATAGAATTGAGAATTCAGAGACAAACCTGCACATACGTGATCAATTGATTTTCCACAAGGGTGCCAAGACCACTCAATGGAGAAAGAATAGTCTTTTCAACAAATAGTGCTGGAACAATGAGATATCCACTGCAAAAGAATGAATTTGGACTCCTACCTCATACCATATACAAAAGTTAAGTCAACGTGGATCAAAGACCTAAATGTAAGAACCAAACCTATGAAACTCTTAGAAGGAAACATAGGTGTAAATCTCTGTCAACTTGAATTAGGCAACGGTTTCTTATTTATGACACCAAAAGCACATGCAACCAAAGAGAAAATAAAGTGGACCTCATCAAAGTTAAAAATTTTTGTAAATTAAAGGACATTATCAAGAAAATGAAAGGAAAACCCACAGAATGGGAGAAAATATTTGAAAATTATATATCTGATAAGAGTCTGGCATCCAAAATACATAAAGAACTCTTACAAGTGAACAATAAAAAGACAAATGCCCAATATAAAAATAGGCAAAGACTTTGGATAGACATTTCTCCAAAGAAGTTATACAAATGGTCAACAAGCACATGAAAAGATGCTCGGAGGATGTGGAGAAATTGGAACCCTCATCCACTGCTGTTGGGAAGATAAAATGGTGCAACTACCATGGAGGTTCCTCAAAAAACTAAAAATATAATTAGCATATGATCCAACAATTCCATTTCTGGGTATATATCAAAATGACCATATATATAAAAATGGGTATATATCA